CGTTTTACTGTCTTACTCCTTAATGTGCGCACCTGTAGTCTCAGCTACTCGGGAGGTTTAGGCAGGAGGATCACTTGAGCCCAGGAGTTCTGGGCTGTAGTGCGCTATGCTGACCCACCAAATTCTGCATCAGTATAGTGACCTCCTGGGAGTAGGGGACCACCAGGTTGCCTAAGGAGGGGCGAACAGGTCCTGGTCAGAAACAGAGCAGGTGAAAGCTCCTGCTGATTAATAGTGAGATAGCACTTGTGAATAGCCACTGCACTTCAGCCTGGGCAACATAGCAAGACTTTGTCTCTTTAAAAAAAAAAATGAGTTGCAAACCACATATCCGACCAACAAGGGACTAATGTCAAGAATATCTAAAGAACTTTCAAAATTTAACAATTAAAACACAATCAGGAAATGAGCAAAATACATGAAGAACCATTTCACGAAGAGGATACACAGACAGCAGATAAGCACATGATAAAATATTTAACAACATTAACCATTAGGGAAATGCAACTTTAAACACACAATAAGATATTACTACACACCTGCCAAAATGGCTAAGATAAAAAATAGCAACACCATCGAATTCTGGAAAGAAGATGGAGAAACTGCACCGCTTATAATTGCTGGAGGGAATTTAAAATGGCACAGCCACTCTGGAAAGCAGTTTGGCAGTTTCTTGTAAAACTAATCATGCAGTTGCCATATGACCCAGCAGTTGCACTCACGGGCATTTATCCTAGAGAAATGAAAACTTATGTTCACACAGAAACCTGTACACAAATGTTCATCACAGTTTCATTTATAATAGCCAGAAACTAGAAACCAACCAAATGTCTTTCAAGGGGTGAATAACTAAACTGTGATACATCCATACCATAGACCACTCCCCAGCAATAAAAGAAACAAATTATTCATGCAACAACTTGGATGATCTCCAGGGAATAATGCTGAGTGAAAAACACCAATCCTAAAAGTTTACATACTGTGTGATTCAATATCTATAACTTTCTTGTAATGACAAAATTATATAAGTAAGGAACATATTAGTGGTTGCCAGAGATTAGGGATGGAGTTTGGGAGACAGGAGAGAAGTGGGTGTGGTTATAAAAGGCAACACAAGGGTTCCTTGTGGTGATGGAAGTGAAGCGTTCTGTGCCTTGACTGTGGCGATGGCTACATGAAAACTACAGATGGGACGAAATTTCACAGAACTACCACACAATCAAAGGAGTGTAGGATCAGTGGATGACAGCTATCTGAATATCCTGGTTGTGACATTGTGGTATAATATTGCAAGATGTTACCATTGGGGGTAACTAGGTAAGGGGTACACGGGATCATTCTGTATTATTTTGCAACTACATGTAAATCTACATTTATCTCAAACCATTTAAAAAAATACAAAAAAAAAAATGGAAACAACATATTGTATTAATTAAATGTTAATTAAGCATGAAAGGGTGAAGTGAGGAAGTGACACTGTCCTTCACTGGACCTCTTCCATGCCTGAGTTTTCAAACAGCCACTTCATCCTCAAAACAGTCCTGTGAAGTAACTTTTAACATTCCTATTCTGTAGGTTCAAGGAAACTTGAGGACTGGAGGGGTAATAAGTTTTGCAAGTGTTAGGTAAAGCCCCAGTCTCAAAGAATACAAAGCCAGTGCCCTCGTCCTTGGCACCTGGGGCACCCCTTCTGAGCAGGCCATGCTGTCTCTGTTGCTGTCACTGCTGCTATGCCAGCCAGCCAAGCCCAACTCTTCACTTCCTGAGGAGGCACCTCAAGGGTTAATATGCCAAGGCCAGTAACCATCTTTGTCTTCCAAATGGGAAGCCAAGATCATTCAGAGTGGAGCACCAGCTTCTTTGCTAAACAGACCATAAAGAGAAACCATGCAAAGAGCATTCAGAAAACCCAGGATGGCATCAGATAAAACAGAGTAAAGTAAAATTCCCAACAGCACAAAGACATTAATTAAAATGAATTGAATAGATGTGTCTGTATAAATATTCCTAAAGATGGGGTTGTCAAGACAAAGTTAGGCCTTGGGGAAATTTATGAGTTACTGATAATTATAGGGAAAATAAATCATAAAAGGACAAAATAAGGATAGATTTTGTAAACTAAGGAAATTGGTGGCTTACGAGGGATAGATGGGAACAGAATAGAAAGAATGGGGAAATGGCAAAGGGTTAGAAGATAGGACGAGGGCAGAGAGACCCTTCTCTTAGTATTCCTCTTTATATAGCTCTTACTATTAGAACAATGGGATCACATGCCAGAAAAACTAAATATATAATGAAAGTCAATCAGGATGCAAGGGGAACCCAAGATGAAATGCAAACAGTAACAAATGAGCCTGGTTCTATTACAAATGAATGCATAGCCACACTGAGGGCAGTAGGAAAGAAAATAACCTCAGTAATATGGAAAGCAGCATTGTGATTGGATACTGCAAGGCTAAGGACAAGAAAAGTTGTACATAAGTCCTGTTCACTAGTTAGTAATTTGTTTTCCACAGGGGTATGGATGAGCAATTTTAAAACTATTTTACATAAGTACTAGGATTGAGCAAATGAGTAAATGATTGTAGATGATCAAGCCAGGTTTCTTAACATTGAAGAAAGAAATTATGAATAAAGGAGAGGAGGCTACAATAAACTCTTTGGTGTTGTATTGGAATTGGAGGTTTCAGTATGAACAGTTTTCAATATATATACAGATGGGTAGTTTTAGAAATAAATGCAGAGTGGTATGTGGACACATTTGAGGGTAGATAGATACAGATACTTGCAGATATAATTATATAAAATTTTCTAGCTTTGCCCTCTAAGAGGGCCTATAAACCATGAAACCCTAGCAGCAATGAGTACAGCTAGTCCCCTTGGTTTCTAAATGCCATTCTTCAATAAAAGAAATGAGGGCTCCTTGGAGAAACGGTTGATTCCAGGGCTGGGGCAGGGAGCTTACAAGATAAGCCTGAACATCTTGCAGTTCTGAAAGTGAGGAAAGGCTTAAATGATGGGAGAATGTCAGAAAGCCACAGGAGCCAACCTAAAGGAGCTTCCATTGGGCAAATCTGGGATAATTTGAGGAACAAAATAAATAATGATAATGGATTACACCCCGCAGAATAAAATAAGTACCCATGAGTCTATATTGACAAAAATAAATGGTTAAATGAATATAGAAATGCAGGAGAAAGGTCAGTCCTTCCTTACAGTAGAATACTAATTAATATTGTAGAAAGAATGTCAGAAATAGAAAATCACTATTTTACAAACTAATATAACAGTAATAATTGTTACAGACCAGAATCATCAATGCATGCTAAAATTAGTAGGCAAGATATGATGGGAATCAGGATATTTACATAATCTCAACAAAGTGTTTTCTTACAGGACACATATTATTTACAAATACGCAGGGGGATATAGTAACTTATGTGGAGAAATCTAGAATATACCACTCAACCAAGTATCAAAGTTAATATGACCAAAATCAAGACAAATCAACATCATGTACCCTTTGACGTAAGAGGTATTGAGAAGAGCAAAGCATCAGTTCTGAGGTATTCTTGCCTAAGGTGAATAAGCTTAATCTAATGATGAGAAAACACCAACCATACTGAGGGATGTTCTACAAAATAACTGGCCAGTGCTCTTTGTAAGAGTCCAGGTGCTGAAGACTGAGGAGCTGTCCTTAATTAACAGAGACTGTAGATACAGGACAACTGTGTGCAATGTGAGATCCTAGGTTGAACTCTGGAACAATAGGGAAATAGAAATGATGTCTCTAGATCAGTGTTGAATTAATGTTAATTTCCTGCTTCAGATCACTGTACCATGGTTATTTAAGTTATTAACATTAGTAGAAGCTGAATAAAGGATATATGGGAACTCTTTGTACTGTCTTTGCAACATTCGTAAGTCTAAAATTATTTTAAAATAAAATATGTATAATTACAAAGGAAGGCAATTATGTTGAAGTCATTATCTAGATATTTAAGTAAATTTGTTACAGTAAAAAAAAAAAACCATGTGAAACCAAAATAATAGTAATGATATATGTGCATGACTCTTTAAATTTTACAAAAAGAATTTTACACTGTTTTTTAATTGCCAAAACAACCCCATGAGGTTGGCATTACTGCCCCCCCCGCCCCCTCATTTTAGGGATGAAGAATTTAAGAGGTGCATAGTATGGTAAAAACAAACGCCAAAGATATAAACAAAAAAAACCTTCAAATCCAGGCAAATGAGCCTGCTTTCAAATCCAAGCACTACCATTTCCAGCCTGTGCAACCTTGGCCAAACCAATTAAGAAACTTTACAGAAATTCTGGCAACTGGCTTTTGAGATTTTTGTGGGAATATAAACCCTGTAAACAGCACAAAGCCTGGCACATTCTGGGCACTTAAGAGAAAAGGAAAGGAAGATGATGGTGAAGATGATGATGGTACTTTAGAGTTGAGAAGCATCTTTGAGTTCAGCCCAGAACTCCCGTGCTCCCAGCATAGAGTTGATCACCTCAAAAGTGGTTTTGGCCACACTGTGGACATTGTGGAGTGGGTTTATACCCTCACAAATTAATTCTGTTTGAGGGAGCCCAACTTAAAAATATCTGTGCCTGTCCATATATGTAGAATATACATATGTTTGCATGTATTTGTATATTGAAAGAGTTAACAATAGGTGCATTCACAAACCAATAATTTCTAATATCAAGATGTCTAAGGAATGAATACAGATGAGCAGGAAGGATTGGTGATCACCTGGTAGCACCCTCCGCACTGCCCTCAGACTCATCCCTGATCTGCCTCCAGTGGGTCTTGCTATCTGTGGATGTGCTTGAAAAACTTTGCAGCAATTCGAACCTGAGATACTTTTTCTTGAGACGCACTAAGAACTTGAACACACCTGATAAGTTATGGGATAAGGCTCAGGAGGGCTGGCATCACCCGACCCAGTGCCCTGCATACTGCAGCTCCTTATTGCATACTTACTGGCATGAATTAATGAGGATTCTGCTGAGAATGGTTGTTGCTCTGCCACCACATTTTGCACCACATTGCTTTGCACTTGTTGGTTTTTCATGTCTCTTTTTTCCCCCTTAGATTTCAGTGAACTTGCATTTCCTCTGGGACTAGGCTTAAAAATCAGCACATGAGATAAATTGCATATAATCAACAATATCCTTGAACATCCCTTAAATCACCTTATGCAAGATGATATATATACAACTGATGTATACACACTGCATCTGTGTGTAGACAGTGTGTTAACAATGTAGAGTGTTGGTTAAGATCGTGGGCCCTGGAACCAGACTACCTGGGTTTAGATCTCAGTCTTACAATTAATTAGCTTTGTAACCTTAGGCTAGTTATTTAACCTCTTCGTGCCACAGTTTGTTCATTAGGAAAATGAAAATGACAGTCACACTCCTTTCATACAGGAGTTGAAAGGATTAAAGAGAGTATATGTAAAGCCTTTGGCACAATTCCCGAGATTCATATATGCCACTCTTTATTATTGTACATTTATGTATGTGCAATATGTACAGCAATGCATACATAAAATATAACTTTAAAATAGCTCAATTACATAAACCTGAGCATATAGCTGAGTAAATTAAACAATTGTCTGCTGTAATCCCCTCCCCGCAACCTTGAACCTTCCTCAAAGCAGCAATAAAACTTAATTTTGTGCTGATTTTAAAGCCCCTCTAGTTGCCACATGGCTCGCACCAGGGGCTGCTCCCTTACAACTAACTGAAGCCCAGCGTCCACATTTCTGAAGGCAGAAATGAACCTTCCAATGAGTTTAGCTGACATGCAGCCCTGTGTGACATCTTTGCCTCCTGTCATAGAGGTAATTAAGGGACCCCTGCCTTGGATCAGCGGTCTTGTTTAAACTAGACCTTAGACCCCAGGATTCTGCTGTGATACCATGTCTGGTTCCACTTGATGGCTATTGGGATGCCACAGTAACTAGGGGAACATATGTGCAATTATATCTAGTGACGAACCGTTGAGTACAACCTAGAATAATGAAACTATGCTTTCTGTCTCCTCTTCTTTCTTTATCTGGACGTGGAAAGGACAGTGGCGACAGTGGGTGCAGTGGTGGTGGCTGCTTTAACAGCAGTAGTGGTGATGTTTGCACTAGTGGCAGTGGTGGTAGTACAGATTGTGGCAGCAATGATGGCAGCAGCATTGGTTAGTTGGACTGTGGTGGTAATGGTGTTAGTGGTTATTGGCATAGCAATGGGGCATATTAGTGGCAGTGGTGGTAATATGGTGTTGGTCATAGTGACCGTGATGGCAGTTGTCTTGCTGGGCATGGTAGGATGGTAGTGGTGCTATTAATGTGATAGTGGTAGTGGGAATCATTGTGTCGGTTGATGCTGATCATGATTTGATGATGGTGGCACTGTTGGTGATGGGAAGTAGATTGTGATTTCCGTAATTTAGGTCAGTGTTTCAACCTGAATTTCAGAAGTAGGAAGCTGATATTGGAGGAAACATACCCAAATATCTCATATACACCCCAAATTGTAAAATATCTTCCTAGGTCTGGGTAACATGGGCAATGCATCCAAATGAAGGCAACCCAATCCCCCGATGTAATTTGCTGATAGAGCTGACTGAGTATTTCACAAAGCGTGGTCCTGTGAACACTCATCCAGCAGAGGGATCCATAAAAACTAAACAGGCGTGGGAAGCCCAGGGACTTCTGTCCCCTTCTTGGAGAATTACTGTGCACATTAAGGGCTCTCAAAGGATCTGCAATCTGAAGTTAAAGTCTGTTTCACTTTGTCTGCCCTCATGTTTCCCAAACATATTTGATCACTTAACCCTTTTTCTTTGGGGAAGGTAGATGCCTATAAACCATTACGTAGAACAGTTAGAGAAACAATATAAACAACACTTGAAATAAAAAGAAAAAGCTTTAAAAAAGTTTTGCCACAGGGACTAATTTTCATGTGCTTAGTGAGAATGGGCAACTTTAGGTTATTTTAAATGTCTTGTATTGCAAAGTGGAAAAGATCATCTTAAATTTACATAATCAGAATTGTGTACAAGGAATTCATTAGACATGTAAATTAAGAGTATTATTAGAAACAAACCTCAAAAATGAAATTGCATTAACTACATAAAACATTTACAATCTAAGAAACCCATATCCTTTTATTCTATACTTATAAAATTAGTAATTTGATCATTATAGAAAAATGGCCCTTGTTTACATTGGAGTCCAATGCTAGGTTAATAAAATAACCTTGGATGACCGAAAGGAAGTGGTCTCTTTATAGCCAGTGCCAATCTGTGGTTCTCCAATAGCACATGAGAATCGCCTGGGATGCTTGTGAAAAATTGAAGTGCCTAAACCTCACTGCCAGTAAGCAGATTTGGTTACAATCTGGAATTTGCGTTTTTGTCAATGACATCAATGCAGACCTCACTTTGAAAAATACCAGAAGGAACTGACATTAATCTATTGTCTTCTATCCTGCTCATTCTACCCAATGTCAATCTTAGGAAAAAGTCTCATTTCAAGTTTCCTGCTCCTGCAGCAGTTTCAGGAGCAGCCCAGGCAAGAGAGGTTGACTGGTAGGCCAAGCAGGTCTCTTCCCTAATACAAAGCCTGTTAACCTCAAGGGCAGAGTCGACAACCCCACCAGTTGTGCTTAAAGAATTAAGAAAATGGCTTCCTCGTTTCTACAGTGATTCCTTCCCATTTCGTGAGTAATCATTAGTCTTAACACGAATAATGCAAAAAAGGCAGCTAAGCAGTTTAAATTTTATCCATAAAACTAAGCCCTGTGTTTCACCACAGCATTTAACTCCATGACCTATTTTATTGAATCCCCTGCATATCTTGGACAGTTTCCTTGAGTGTAAATTACCATGAAGGTAAATTGAAAACGTATCAAGAAATGGGCAAGGATATTAGTGTAGAATCAAGGCATCATCGAGCTTCAGTTGTTATGAAGATTTTTAAAAGTGTCTTTTCAATACAGTTAAAGTGAAAAGAACTGATTTGATTAACAAGACTTTACCTTTCTTAGGTTACCATCTGCCTTCAACTTTGTAGGTGATTCAGTTTCAATGTCCCATCCTCCAGAAAACATGCTCCAACCTGTTCAGAGCTTCTTTCAGCTCCCCAAGCTTCCCTCATGTGTCTCTGCCCAGCAGTGACTACCCATGTGGTGACTGTCCATCTCCCTTGGGACTTTATCCCCCATCCCCAACCCCATCCTGTGAGGGCAGGGCTCCCATCATATTTACTTGTGAATCCACAGTGCTGGTACACTCTCTGGCTTGAAGTGCATGCTAAACTGTCTGCTAAAGAGTCAGTGTGTTCCCCTCTTGCCTTAAAAAGCAGGAAAGGAAATGCTATTTGTAGTGAAAACAAGGAGGCAGGTAGGGGAAAATTCAGATTCTACTGATATTTCTAGTATGCTCTCCAGCCATGTCTCTGCCCCTGAACTATCCCTATATTAGTCATTTGAGTCTTATGCCATGCCTCCGAAGTATGTGGTATTATTTATTCTTATTGCACAGGTGAAGGGAATAGGGTATAGAGAGGTTAAGTAATTTGCCCCAGGTCACCCAGCTCATAAGCAGCAGAGGCTCCCACTTAGGTCTGTCTCTGCATGCTGGACCTCAGATTCCTGCCACTGCAAAGCCTGGCTTGAGAGGAGAGTTGAAGTGACAGATTGCCCAGGCTCAGTTATTTGTTAATAGAGAATAGAGCTGCTTTGCCTAGATTCCACACGTGGAGGATGTCCAGTGCAGTGTTGAGCAGCTTCCCTTCAGCAGGAGCGGACTTTATGCCCAGCCAGAACTGCCTGATTACGACCTGTCCTCACTGCCTGCTCTCTGGCTGCCTTTCTTCCTATATGAGGTTCCTGCCAGGTCTGAGGACCCCAAAGAGAAGGGAATGAGGTTTTGAGGGGCTCTGAGACCCTAGCATTTGGGAGTTCTGGTAAGTGCTTTTTAAAACCCACCTGCTGTGAAAAGATTCTGGTCAGTGGGCAGAAAGACACGGCTGGATGTTAAACGATCAGAGACAGAGGCATGCAAAAAAAGAGATTCTAATACCCCAAAAGCAAGCAGGACCCCAGCGGAGCACCCCCTCCTCTGGAAGTTGTGTAAGGGCTCAGATGCACAGAATGTGCTGCCAGCCAACCAGTGCCACATGTCTGAGACTTAGAGAGATAATTACAGAGAAAGGAGCAGGAGAAAGAAGAAACGAAAACATCCTTTCTGCCAGGTGTGGTGGCAGGCATTAATTTCAAAGGCCTCTGTGTGACAGGATTGAGGAAGACAGAAGCAGGGAGAAGAATAGATCCAGGTGGCAGGCCTGTAATCCCAGTAGTTTGGGAGGCCAAGACGGGTGGATTACCTAAGGTCAGGAGTTCGAGACCAGCCTGACCAACATGGTGAAACTCCATCTCTCCTAAAAAATACAAAAAAATTAGCCGGCGTGGTGGCAGGTGCCTGTAATCCCAGCTACTTGGGAGGCCGAGGCAGGAGAATTGCTTGAACCCAGGAGGCAGAGGTTGCAGTGAGCCAAGATCATGCCATTGCACTCTAGCCTGGGCTACAAGAGCGAAACTCTGCCTCAAAAAAAAAAAAAAAAAAAAAAAAAAATCCTTTCTATCCAGGACCAAAGGGAAGTTTAAACCCTATGAAATATTGCTGCTTTGTTGTTTACTTTGCCAAATTCTTAAGAAGTTGCACACAAAGAAAGCAGAACATTTGGAAATAAAGAAAGAGAAACCTCATACTGACAAGCTCAGGCACTGAAAGATTCTGAAGACCAAAGTGGGCTTTATAGTGTGCAGGAAGAGTTTGCTGATTGAAAGGAAGACTCTGCACACAGAAAGAAGAAAAATTGAAAGCAGACAGAAGAGCATATACTCCAAGGCCACTGAGGAGGGAGGGCAGATGATCACACTTCCAGTAATGGCCACCATGGTCCCAGCTGGCAGACTGTGGTGCTAGAGGGCCAGGCTCCATTTTGGAGTAATGGGAAGACCTGGATCTATTCTTGTCCCTGCTCCTGGCTTCCTCAATCCAGCCACACACAGGCCTTTGAAACTGATGGGCACTTCTGGCCAGCAGGACACAGGGTGGAGCAATAAATAGGTGGTCTCAAATTCATTTGGATCACACAGGTGAAGAGCTCTCTGGAGAAACAAAAAAGATGCAAAACATTACATAAACTTGAAGACTGACGAGGAAAATAAAGAAAATGGTGCTAAAATGGCCTCAAAGTTTCAGTGGCCACAGCCAGATCATATTTTCCAAGCTTCACTTAGAGGTGAGGTTTAATCATAGTAGTCTGTTTGTAAAAGCATGCATAACCTTTTAGTTGAGATTCTGTTCTTTTTTATGTGTTTTCTTAACATGCTATATTACCCTCAGCTCTTTGTTACTTGATTCTTAACACTACTTGGGACAGTTGCTCCTGATCTCTTAGATTTTTGTCTTTCAAGGCCTTTGCTTCCCAGGGTGCACTTCAGCCAACACAACCAAGGGAAGAAGAAAATGGGGAAAAGTGTGCATGAGGTGGTAGGGGCCAGACTGTGCTTGTGCCCATAGAAACAGCAAGCTTCTCCCAGCAAAAGCCCCAGAGCTGAAGTCTGCAAAAGGGAAAGGCAAATTAGTAACCAGTCTGTGCTACAGGGCAGCCACGTCTGAGCATTACCTAATGCTTTTCTCAATTGTTTTGACACATGTAGTTTTGTTTTAAATATGTATGGTAATTCTTAATAAAATGGTGATAAATGTGCGAAGACATTCTCTGTGGAAATAATGAAGTCTTTACAGTTTGGAATGCTATTAAGTCTTTGCTTCACGGTTTGTGAGACTGTTAGCATTTTAAGCAGCAATAACATTTTACTGAGGCCCAGTCTTGCTGAGGGGGATGGTCAGCTCTAGAGGGGGCAGTTTTTCCATCACACCTCAGAGTGACCTGGTTTGGGGCTACACATAGATGGAGGTGGAGCTACTTAGTGGTACCCTTCTCAGCCCTGCCTGGCTCAGCCACTGCCTCTCCAACTGATGATTCACTGTCCATCATCAGTACAGTGCAACAGAAAAAAAAATACGGGCAAACCTGGGTTTGAATCTCAATCCTACCATTTTCAGGTAGTATAACCATGGGAAAAATCATATAACCTTTTTGAATCTCCATTCCTGTTCCAGTTATCAAATATAACAAACCACCCCAAACTTACTGGTGTAAACTGACCATTCTGTTATGCTCATAGACTCAGTGGGTCAGGAATTTGACCAGAGCACAAGTGGGTGGCTTGTCCCTGCTCCATGATACCTGGGGTCTCAGCTGAGAAGACTTGAAGACTGTGACTGAGTGGACGCTGGAGGCTACAGTCATCAGGGACTCTTCACTCATGTGTCTGGCAGTTGGTGCTGTGTGTTGGACATTGACCACAACACATGCATATGACCACTCTGTGGGGTCTTTCTGAGTAGGATAGTTTGGGCGTTTTTTAGAACCCATTCATGGCAGCTGGGTTCTAAAACCAAGTGTCCCAAGACCATAAGATGTAAGTGCATGGTATTTTTATGACCTAGCCTCAGAAGTCACACAGTATCACTTCTGCCATTGAGTAAAGCAGTCACAAATGCCTACCCCAGTCCCCCAGGAGGGACACAGACTTCACCTCTCAATGGAAGAGTGGCCAGGTTCTAGAAGAGCATATAAACCAGGAGATGATCCTGTGGCCATGTTTTGAAAAGACTGTCACAATTCTCTCCTCTAGCGAGCCTAACAGACCAGAGAATGGAGGGAGTGATGATGGCCAGTCACAAGCTAAGTGCCATGAGCTGTTCGTCTGTTATCTAACTATTTAAGTCTTAAAATAGTATCCGCACACTTTTTTGTTTGTTTTCAGATAAGGCATTATATTGGTCAGCTTCAGCTGCATAAAAACTACAAATTATCAATGGCATACAAGAATAAGCAGTTTATTTATTGACCACAGATCTTGAGTCAGCTGAGACAGATGTGTTCCTCCTCTCCTATTCTGAGGTTTAGGAGAGTTAGGAGGGGCAGTGGCTGCCTTATGTATTCTTCTCATGTAGATGGCACAGGCAAAGGATTGCAAGCCCCACCAAGCAAGCAAGCTTTAAGTTTCTATTTATGTCCCATCTGCTACTATCCCATTGGTCAAAGCAAGTCTCATAGCCAATTCCAAAGTCAAGGGGCAGGGAAATACATTCTGGCCTTTGTGAGGCTGTGGCAGAAATGTGGGTGTATAATACTATAATGGCAGAGTGAGGAATTGGGAGCAATAATTCAATCTACCATAGCCATTTTCTAGCACAAAGAAAATTGGATAAGGATATTGTGGCATTACAGCTAGTGTTTAACAATATAATCTTAGGTGCAAAATACCCATATAAAGTAGTAGGGTTATCAAATTGCTAATAAAAGAATAATTCAACAAGACCAGGTAGCATTTATCCTAGGTATTCAAGGACAATATACCATAAAGATATCTATTAATATACCACATTACTAAGACAATATATTTTTATGAAACTTAAATCATCATCTCAATGCACACTTAAGTCATTCAATAAAATCCAAAACCTACTTGGGGATTTTTTTTATGCTCTTAGTAAATTAGAACTGTAAGGATCCTTCCCTGGCATGATGCATAATGGCATAACACTTCAAAAGCATCCCCACAGAAACAAGGAAATAGAAAAGAATGCCTACTCACCACCATTATTTTCCAATGGTATCAAAACTAAGAAATATAGTTGTAGAAAGGAGATTCATTTTTCATTATTTGCAGGTGGTGTTACTGTGTCCTTAGAAAGTCCAGGAGAAGCATTTGAAAAACTGTTAGAACTAATAAGTTCAGTAAGATAGCCCAGATTCAAAATAAACCAATCAAAGTATGGGATTTCCTATATAATGGTTGTAATGCAATGTAATGAAAATATATATCTATATACATGGCAAAAATATAATGGAACAAAGATCCCATCCACAAGATGAAAAGCCAAGGACATTTGTCACCAGGACTAACCTGAACCACATACATGAAGGGCACCAAGGGCAGCAGGCAGCAGCTCAGCCTGCTCTGAGGCTGGTCTAAGTGGAAACATGGCCAGCTCCTCACGAAAACAGCCATTTATTGATTGGCTTTCCGGTGAAAATGCCAATAGGTGGATATTTTTGTTTATTTGTTAACCTGAGAAAGTATCCAGAGGTTCTCCCAGAAGACTAACCAGGTGCTCAGAAAGCTTTCAGAGATATCAAAAGGTAATTGTTTTTGAAAGTGATTAAATAAGTGTGATACTTACTCCAGACAGCATAATGGAACATGACTCTATAGAAAAAGGTAACATAAGGTAAAAACAAATACTAAGTGGGAGTCGGGAGGAGATTATTTAGTAACAGAAAACAATTAAGTATTTGGAAGGGAAAAAAAGGCAGTTTGATTTCCTACTGCATATATTTCACTCAGTGAAATACTAAACATAAAACCCAAATGTGGAGAATTCCCTGTCAATGGCTGTTTCCTTTGACCTGCAGCTACCTCCTGGAACTACACAGGCAGTATATTTCCGGGGGCAGAGAAAAAAATTACGGTAGGCCTAGATGTTGCCTTTATCCTTTTACTGTGAGCAAAATAATTAAACAGGACCTACCGAGGCTCTGACAGGGCCACCCAGCAGCCCATCAGGGACAGATAGACCTTTCTGGAAAAGGCTGACTCGTCAGAGAAAAACCATAGGTCATATGAGAAGGGACTGCAGTTCTAAAGTAGGGACCAGGCAGCAGATTCAGGGCAAGTGGCTCTCCATTTAAGAATATAAAATTTTTAAATTTCTGGTTCTCCATGAGACTCAACAGAACAATGTGATAATGCAAAAGAACAGCCTGTCACGAAAAAGGTGTAGTCTGTGGACAATGAAATGCTTCGGGAATGAAAACCCCATTGCCCAATGAGTGCTCAGGGAGGGCAGCAGGAAGGCTATTTCTGGCACTAAATAGAAAATTAGAACACCAGTCCCAGAACTCAGGAAAAAGATAAGGGATGATAATTATGAGATGAGACATACAGAATTGATGCGAGACAATAGAGCAGAGGTGCAATAACAACCCAGAAAATGACAGAAGAAATGATCCCTGAGTTGAAGACCTGAGGCTTTACTTCACAGGGAGTGGGGAAACATAGTCATTCTAAGACCTGGGCCTAATTCCCAGCAGCTAGATTTGAGTTGAGTGAAAGGGAAATCATGATTTGGAAGAGTCCTCTCTATATGATTGCCAAAAGACCCAACAGGCAAATATTTAATATATAGTCAACCCTCCATATTCATGGGTTCTGCATCCCCAGATTCAGCCAACCACAGATAAAAGAAAATGAGGGGAAAAAACATTGTCATTATTCTCTAAACAATACAGTATAACAACTATTCACATAGCATTTACATTGTATTAAAGATATTATAAGTAATCTAGAGTTGAAGTATACAGAAGGATGTATGTAGGTTATATGCAAATATTACACCATTTTATATAAAGGCATTAAGCATCTGTGAATTTTGGTATCCATGGGAGATCCTAGAACCAATCCCCCGTGGATACGAAGGGATGACTATACTTATTAAAATAGTTCATATGTGTCAATAAATAGATGATCAATGAATGTGAGCAGGCAGTTCATAAAAAGAGAAATAGAAATGTCTAATAAATTTAAAATCACATCAGTAATTTTAAATGCAAATTGTAAACCACAAAATATTCCTACAGACTGGCAAAGGTGTTTTTAAATGAACAGTCCCAGTATGGCCTGATGCAATGAGATGGCATCTTTCATACCCGCTGGTGACTTTCTCTTCTTGTTCAGAATTTCTGAAAAGCAGTTTAGCAAGATAAAGCAAAACACCCCAAAAAATTTCAAGTCAATAATTTTCTTTCTGATAATTTATCTTGAAAAACTATCCAAGACCTGGAACCAAGATCTACAAAGATAGTCATATTTGGATTCTAACACAAATTTTTTAAATATATTTTTAGTCTGTATCATTATGTATCTATTAAAAGTGATGGGGTTTTTTTGTTTTGTTTTGTTTTGTTTCAGTTGCAAGATTTAATAGAGTGAAAACAGAGCTCCCATCCAAAGGGAGGGGACCCAAAGGGGGTTGCTGTTGCTGGCTCAAATGCCTGGGTTTATATCCCGATCATTGTCCCTCCCACTGTGCTCTCAGGAGATAGATGATTGGCTATTTCTTTACCTCCTGTTTTTGCCTAGTTAGCATTTTAGTGAGCTCTCTGATTGGTCGGGTGTGAGCTAAGTTGCAAGCCCCGTGTTTAAAGGTGGATGCAGTCACCTTCCCAGCTAGGCTTAGGGATTCTTAGTCAGCCTAGGAAATCCAGCTAGTCCTGTCTCTCAGTGCCTCCTCTCAACAGGAAAACCTAAGTGCTGTTGGGGAGGTTGGCCAATGACCGCTGTAACTGCTTCCTGCTGTATTGGGGCGTAGTAGGGGTTGTGCAATTGAGACTTCCTCAGGAGGGGTGCCTTCGATGTCATTAACTTGGGAGCATGGGCTAGCAGGCCGGTCCAGGGGTCTGCGGTAGATCTTAGTCATGGACTGCATTTGGGGCTCCATTTGAAGAACCATTTGTAGTTTTATAGCTTTGATTCTGGAAGAGACAAACTTAACAAGGAGGTTAAAGATACAGGGATTGAAAGGTATGGCCTGCAGTGCAGGGGATTATATCTTTGGCACACTTCACAGGCCCTGACTATCTGCTTGATAGTTTTGAAAAGGCCTGGTCCTGTAAATAATGACTTGGCCGTCTGATGGGTGCTATCAGTGCCTAAGTGAAAGGTTTGGTGAAGGGTTTTAAGTAATTTCCATTGGTTAGCTGTAGGCAAAAGTATTTTCCCTTTTTCAGTGGTTAGCCATCCTGAGGGGAGGAAACTATGTCCTCATGAGGTTTTCCATTCTACTTTTTCTGTTGAGTACTGGGGCTTGGTTTCCTGGAGGGGATTACCCCATACTGGGGGTCCTTCTATAAGCATTTCTAATGGAGGGTCCCACCTTGCGGCTCTTTTGGCTTAAATATTCACTTCGTGGTTCTCTTTTATTTTTCTTTTTCTTTTTGATGACCCCAGTAGTGGAAGACTGTCACCTCTTTAGGTTTCTGTACAGCCAATAATAATCTCCTAATGGCTTCCTCATGTTTGATAGGTGTTCCCTCAGAAGTTAGGAATTCCCTTTCTCTCCATATTGCTGCTTGGGCATGGAGGACTAGGTAAGCAGACTTAGAGTCTGTATATATTTACCCTTTTTCCTTCTCCTAATTCTAGTGTCCGAGTGAGGGCTGCTAGTTCTGCCAGCTGAGCACTAGGTCCTGGAGTGATGGGATTACTTTCAAGTATTCCATTATCACTGACCATTGCATACCCCGCTTTTTGAAGTCATTTTTCTACAAAGGATATCAGTATACAAGTTGAGGTCAGGAACAGTCAGGGGAACCTCTAGAAAGTCCCCTCGAGTGGCGTAGGTTTGAGCAATGACTTGTTGACAGTTACATTCTGTCTTTTCTTCGTTGTCTGGAAGAAATGTGGCTACATTAAGAGTTGCACAAGTGCACAGTTGCATCACTGGCCCTTCAAGTAATAGAGCCTGATATTTAAGTAAATGGTTGTCTGACAGCCACAAGTCTCCTTTAGCAGTGAGCATGCCATTCACATCATGAGATGTCCACACAGTAAAATCTCTTCCTTGTATTATTTTAGCTGCTTCAGATACCAAGACTGCTACTGCCACTACTACCTGTAAACAGTGAGGCCAACCCTTTGTCACTACATCAGTTTACTTACTCAGGTATGCCACGGGTTGCAAGCTCATCCCTCGGACCTGTGTAAGGACTCCTAGAGCTATTCCTGTTTTTTCTGTGACATATAAAGAAAAGTCTTGCCCCTTTGGCAAGCTTAACACTGGGGCTTGGGTTAGGGCCTTCTTTAGGGCCTGGAAAGCCACTTCTGCTTCAGGTGTCCATCTTAGTAAATGGATATTGGCTTTCTGAGTTTCCTTAATTAGTATATATAATGGTCTATTTCGCTGTACGTGGGAATCCATATTCGGCAGAAGCCTGTTATGCTAAGGAACACTCTTAGTTGCTTTAGGGTTTGGGGATGAGGATAAGCCAGTATAGGCTGGATACATTCCTCACTGAGGGCCCTGGTGCCTTTGGATAATTTTAGCCCTAAGTATTTAACCTGCTGTGAGCAGAGCTGAGCCTTCGGTTTGGAAACCTTGTAGCCATAGGTAGCGAGGAAATTTAAGAGCGCTTGGGTGGCTTGATGGCATAAGGTTTCTGAACGGGTGGCTAAAAGTAAATCATCCACGTACCAAAGGACAAGAGTGTCCAGGTATGAGAATTGGCTTGAGTCTCATACTTGGGCTAATGCCTGGCCAAATAGATAGGGGCTATCCCTGAACCGTTGGGATAAAACAGTCCAGGTGAGTTGAGACGTTGGGTTTGAAGGATCTTCAAAGGCAAACAAGAATTGAGAGTCAGGGTGTAGAGGGATACAGAAAAAGGCATCCTTAAGGTCCAGGACTGTAAACCACTCTGCTTCCTCTGGTATTTGGGAAAGCAGAGTATAAGGGTTAGGTACAACTGGGTATAGAGGGACAACGGCCTCATTGATAATGCTGAGATCTTGCACTAACCTCCACTGTCTGTCGGGTTTCTGTACTCCTAAAATTGGAGTATTGCAGGGGCTATTGCATGGTTTTACTAGGTCTTGGGCTTTTAGGTCCTTAACACTCTTTTGGAGTCCTTGTTGGGCCTAAGGGAGTACTGCCTTTGGTAGGGAAAGGAGGCAGAAACCTTTAGTTTAACTTGAACAGGACGGGCATTCTTTGCTCGTCCATATTGTCCTTCTGTTGCCCAGACTTCAGGATTAATTCCTTCCTCAAGCAGGGGACAACAAACAGGTGTTCCTTCCCCTATGTTCAGGTGTACAGTGGCCCCTGCTTTTGCTAGAATGTCTCTCCCTAACAAGGGAGTGGGGCTTTCAGGAGTAATTAGAAAAGCATGTGAAAAGAGTAAAGTTCCCCAGTCACAGCTTAGTGACTGGGAGAAGTATCTAGTGACTGGCTGTCCTAGGACCCCTCGGATAGTGACAGATCTGGAGGACAGTTGTCCGGGACAGGGGAGTAAGACTGAGAAGGCCATGCCAGTGTCCAGGAGACAGTTAACTTCCTGGCCTTCGATGGTCAAGCATACCCGGGGCTCTGTGAGGGTGATGGCATGGGCTGGCGCTTGCCCCGGGCACCCTCAGTCCTGCTGCTGGATTATCTGGGTAGTGGCTTCTGACTCAGAGGACTTTCATCCCCTGGGGCAGTGGGCCTTCCAGTAATTCCCTTGACATAAGGGGCAAGGACGAGGGGGTGGCTTACTTCTATTTGGACAGTCTTTTTAGAGTGTCCTTGTAGACCGCACTGGAAGCAAGGCCATTTAGGCATTTGATTTGCCCAGCTTTTCCCTTTTCCAGAGCCTCCAAATTCTGCTTGGCTGAGGGCCATGACTAAAGCGGTGGCCTTTTTTTTAATCCTGTTTGTCCCGTTCCGCCTGCTCCTCCTGATCTCTATTATAAAAAAACCGAGATTGCCAAGTTCAATAGGGTTTCTAAGTTTTGCTCTGGGCCTAAGGTGGACTCTTGAAGTTTTTTCCTAATGTCTGCAGCTGACTGAGTGATAAACTTATCCTTTAAGATTAGTTGGCCTTCAATAGAGTCAGGTGACAGGGAGGTATGCTTCTTCAATGCCTCCCTTAGTCTCTCTAGAAAGGCAGTAGGATTTTCTTCCTTTCCCTGTGTTATAGTGGACATCATTGGATAATTCATAGGCTTCTTCTTAGTTTTCCTTAGTCCTCTAGCACGCAGGTTAGCAAGTGTCTGCGGCACCAATCTCCATGTTCTGATTCTGTGTCCCAGTGAGGGTCTACACTGTCTGCTGGCCTGTGGGGAATCTTTCTCTTTCCTCTGTTGTCATCCTATCATTGACCTGACAGCTACCAGAGATCGCCAAACTCTTGGGCTGCAGTTATGGCGGCCCTTCTCTCATTTGGGGTTAGTGTCTGATCTAGCAGTAACATTATATCTCTCCATGTCAGATCAAAGGATTGTCCTAACCCTTGTAAAACATCAATATAGCCGTCAGGGTTATCTAAGAATTTACCTAGGTCTATTTTAATTTGCTTGAAGTCTGAGAGGGAAAAAGGTACATGCACTCTAGCTGGGCCGAATTCTCCTCCTCTCACTGCTTGGAGGGGGCATAATCGGGGAATATTGACACTCTTTGGTTCATTGTTTACCCCTTTGTCTCTCTCCTTTTGGATCATTTGGGTTGAAGGGGGATCCTTATTAGTTGGGGAAGGAGTCGGGGGAATGCTGGGGTAGGGAGGTAGACTCTGAGGGCTTCCTGTAGGGCATAAATCACACTTTTTACATAATTGCGAGTTGTCTCTTAATGAAAAGAAAGTTTGTACATATGCCACTTCACTCCATTTGCCTTCTTTTCTACAAAGGAGGTCTAGTTGCAAGATGGTGTTATAATTTATACTTCCCTCAGAAGACCAGGTTTCTCCCCCTTGAAGAGGATATCATGGCCAGGTGGTACTGCAGAAGAATATAAGTCATTTCTTTCTTAGCGTCTGAGGGTCAAATTGGTCCCAGTTCTCCAGAATACATCTTAGGGGTGTTTTTGCCTTGGGGGGAACATTTCCCATCTGAAAAAAGAACACAGGGATGCCAGCACCCCTAGTCATTTTCCACTGAGCATTAGTCCTAGAGCATCCTCTATGGTCCTAATGCTTATTCCTTTCCAGGGTGTGTAACCACCCATGGACCTCTGCTTATTGGATTAGTTACTCTCACCGGTGTAGCAGTCCTGCACCCCTTTTCCCGCCTTTTCTTGACCACAAAGAAAGGGGCCTGGGCTGCTGGGTTCTTGTGGTCCTTTACCAGCGTGCCCAACATTGCCTTTGTGCTCAGAAGTGAGTTCTTTTCGAGGGTGCGTAACCACCCATGGACCTCTGCTTGCTTATCGGGTTAGTTACCCTCACCAATGTAGCAGTCCTGCACCTGTTTTCCCGCCTTGACCACAAAGAAAGGGGTCCAGGCTGCTGGATTCTAGTGGTCCTCTACCAGTGTTCCCAATATTGCCTTTGTGCTCAGGGGTGAGTCCTAGAGCTGGGCTGGGTTCCTGAGTATTTCATAACAACCCAGCTGCCCCATCAGGATGTATTCCCATAAAAGCAGTTCTTATGCAAATTCATTTCAGAGATGGTGTAGGTAACCTTTTGAGTCAGGATTGAGATAGTCTTTTGATTCTGTAAGTACATTAAGGCTTGGTTGAGTGCAAACGGCTTGCACGTTTGAGGAGATCAATCATTAGGCAATTTTTCTAAGTCTGCTTCCACAAGAGTCTGTATCAATTACTGAATACCCATTGTGGTTTTTTCCTCAATCACCTGGGAGGAACCATCTATCTCCTGTCCTAAAGGGAGTTCCTCTTAGCTCTGGTCGGACCCTTATATGGTAATTAAGATTTAAATCCCCTGTTAGGAAATCTGTTGGGTTAAGGGAATTACCAGTGGTTGGTGTTAAATTATCTTTTTTTTTTTAACAGAATAGCCCCATATTTTAAGATTTTTGAGTTAGTAAGCTACCTTTTTGCTTTTTTGACTTAGAATAATTCTGAACTGGTGAGGTGTGCTAACAATGAGGTTTCCTCCAAAAGTTACTTTTCTACTTTCTTCTGTTAGCAAAGCAGTTGCCGCTACAGATTGAATACTGCTACAGATTGAATGGGTTACTGGGTTAAGGATTTTTGATAGGAAAGCTATGGGTTGTCAGTGGTCTCAGTGTTTTTGGGCTATGCCCTTGTTTACTAAGGTAGTATTGGAGTATTATAGGATCATGGAGAAGACCTTCAATTATCAATTATAGGTTTTAAATTTACCCTTGCTTTTAGAGGAATAGGGCACACAGGGGTTTTTTTTGTGTGTTTTTTGTTTTTTGTTGTTGTTGTTGTTTTACTATTTTTATCTTTCTCTTTCTTTTACTCTTTGACTCCCTCTGTCTCTCTCTCTCCTCTGTCCCTCTCCTCCATCTCTCTCTGCCTCTCCTCTCTCTCTCTCTGCTCCATCTTTCTCTCTCTTTCCTCTGTCTCTCTCTCTTCCATGTGTCTCTCTCTCTCTCTCTTTCTCTCTCTCTCTTTCTCTCTCTCTCTCTTCCATGTCTCTCTCTCTCCTCCTCTTAGCCACAAACTTAGGGCCCTGGCAAGGGTGGTGGGGAATGGGTCCCACATAACTGCCCATGTCGAGAGTTGTGTGTCTAAATTGGGAGGGACATCAGGGACAAGACTCCCTGGGTTTATAGCCTAGATGCCTAAGGACTCAGCGTAGAGCTTCCTTAGATGCCTTTGGAGATACAACTTGCTAGAGGAAATGAAAGTCTGAACCTTTAGTACCTAGGAGGCAGGGATCAGAGGAAGCAGATTCAGAGGTAAGGAGAATTTTGGGGCTACACTCTCAAGAAAGTCACAGTCAGGACCCAGGAGGTATGGGTCAGAAGGAAAGGTAGGGGTGCATGCATGGGTGACTGTTGAGTAGAGACTTCTGGCTGCACCATGATCTCTACCAGCTACTGCCAGGAGTTCGGGACAACAGCTTTCTGCCTCTAGTTGGCCCTCAGCTTCCCCAAGAAAATTGAAAGTGGAAGCTAGCTCCAGGCAGACCAACGTCCCCAGCCCAGAAGGGTTGAGGGTTGTTAGAAAGCCCTTCCCCAGATAGCCTCACACCTGAGTCTTAAGTCCTGCAGCCACGCAAATCGTTTTTAACTGGCCGACAGATGCCTGGTATTTTCCTCCAGTTCTGAGGAAGAATAGGACAGAATAGCAAGCAAAAGTGGTCCCATATTACTCACCGCTTTGGAGGTCCCATCTGGGTTGCCAAAATGTTACCAGGGGGTCCTTGCTCCCCGAGCTCCCAAGATGGTGGCGGGCCGCTTCCAAAATGGCAGCGGGCCACTTCCAAGATTGTTGCAAGCCTTGTGGTCTCTGACCTGGGGTTCTTGGCCTCACAGATTCCAAGGAATGGAATCTTGGGCCATGCGGTGAGTGTTATAGCTCTATTAGAAGCCATGGGTCACAGAAGAGAACCATGGAACCCAGTGACTCAGCTCGATTAGTGTTCAGCTCAATTAGGACAAACCCCGGCACTTAGCCGTGTGGAAACAATGGCAAGCCTTTAGCCCAATCAAGAGCCCAGTGGGCGCCTCACTGGATCAGGAGCACAGCAGACACTCTGCCAGATCTGGAGGGATGGAAGTCAGCAACGATCTGCAACAGTAGCAAACAGCAGTGGTGGACAGCAAGCGAAAGCTCAGCTCCAGCTGTAACAAACACGGACCAGAAGAGTGCAGTTGCAACATTAACAGAATGAAAACAGAGCTCCCATATAAAGGGAGGGGACCCAAAGGGGGTTGCCCTAAAAGTGATGTTTTCAAGAGTGCTAATGACCAAGAAGAACACATATCATATAATCTAAATAAAGAAGATATAAAAATGAATTTACATTATTTGAAGAAAAATATACAAAAAAATACAAAATGAACTATAATATAAACCATATTAACCTCTTACATATGTTTTACTTTTTATCCTTCACACTTTTCAGTAGACTGTAATATTTCTACAGTGTGCATTAATTTTTAAGCTTATTTTATATATCATATTTATAAATTTATTAGATAATAAAAGTTGTTATTTTAAGGCTTATAGTGTTATTTGTTCCATCCTCATTTCTAATTCCTGGTTCCCAGAACAATCACTTATGCCTCTTTCAGATGTTTTCTCTGGTACTTGACTCCCCATTTCTAAATAATAAGCTTATACTGTTGTATCTTGTTTTTTTTCAGATTTAGATAATATATCTTGGCTTCCTTCAGGAAAAATGAAGATTTCACTCTCTCACACCTTCACCCTCCCATTCACACCTCGCCTCCACCACATGCTCCCAAATTGATTAGCTCATAACTTTGGGTTCAATTCATATTATTGTTCACATTTATGTCTATGTAAATAGTGTCAACAAAACCATGCAGTGCACTATGATTCCATTGCCTCTCATATAAACTTTGGGTTTTTTCCTAGAGTTAATAATTGTTCATTTATTTGTTGCCTTAGTTCCTTATGCCTATCATTAATTCAGTCTCAATTTTACCAAAAGATCTCTAAAACTCTTCTTAGTCCAGACAAATTAATCAGATGATCTATCTGTTCCATTTTTTGTCTGCCCATATCCCTCCTAAAGCCCTCCAGGTCCTATCTGGACATCCAGCTCTGTGTACCCACTATACTGTCATCCTGGGATTGCCTTTCACTGTCTCCCTGGGGATTCTCTTTGCCTGTTTCCTGATTCAAAACCCTTGTTTCTTGGATCCCATGTCTTCTCTTCTGCTTTTGGGTTTACTCTCTTATTTGGGTGGTGGAATGCGTCCTCCAGCATCTTTGTGAAAAAAGGGTATAGAGGAGGTAAATTTTCTGAAACCTAGCATGTATGAACACATCTTCATGCCATACTTCAAAGGGCAGTAAACTACAGCCCACAAGCCAAATCTGACCCATATCCTATTTTCATTTATGTTGTGAGCTACGGATGGTTTGCTTACATTTTTTCAATGGCTTCAAAAATTATGCAACAAAGTTTGTATGTAGTCCATAAAAACTGTATGTGGCCTGCAAAGCGTAAACTATTTACCGTCTGTCCCGTAATAGAAAAAGCCTGCTGACGCCTGTTCCAATTGATTGGTAGCTTGGCCAAATGTAGAATTAAGGTTGGAAATTATTTTCCTTTAACATTTTGAAGACTTCCCTCCACTGTCTCCTGGATTCAAGACTTGCTGTTGAGAAATCCAATGCTATCCTGCTTTCCAAGTTCTGTATATTAAACCTCTGGTATCTCTTTTGAAACTTTTGAAACTTTTAGGACCTTCTGTTTAAACCTACTGGTCTAAAATTTTATAAGGTTTTGACATTGTGTGAATCTTCTTTTATGCCAAATGCTGATTCTCAGAGGACCATTGATTCTGAAAATGTATGTCCTTCTAGTCTGGGAAAGTAGAATGTCTTATTTATTTGATGATTTCTTCTGTTCTCCTGTTCTCTTTCAGAAATTTCTATTAGTTCCATGTGTACCTCATAGATAAAACCTCTAGTGTTTTCTTCTTTGTAGTATACAATTCCTGCATACAATTCCTGAAAATCCTGCATACGATTTCTGCATTGCCTTTGTATCCTCCAAGTTCCTTTGCTCCTGGTAGCTGTTTTAGTCTCTGTCTTTCATGGTAAGCACCTTTCCAAAATTTGTCTCTTCCTAGACTGTCCACTTATGTTTGCAGATCAGGCCCCAGATGCAGGCTAGAAGTTCTTGATGTGAGTGTAAAGCTGGTAGACCTCATGGTTATATGGTCAGGTCCTAGGTTCAAGACCCCCAAATGTGTATAGATGTTGGTGTCTTCTCCTAGGTAGGTCTGTTCCCCAGAGAGACATTCTGGGAAACATACTTAATCTTTCTGTCTTAAAGATGTTACTTCCCCGCACTCAACTGTGCCTATATTTGAGAATGAAGGTTCTCTCTGGTCCAACCCAGGCAGAAAGCAGATATCTGCCCTTCTGCCACAATGGGAGGATAAGGTAGGCGATTGGAGGCTGGGGTGGATCTAAAGACTCTTCAGACAAACTCTCAACTGGCCCTCCTGTTTTCAGGCCCTCTGGCACCCCCACCTGGAGAGGTTCTTGGCTCCTTCAGTTCCTCAGCCACTCTGGGCCTCTGCTACTGCGCAGCTTGCCTCTTATGCCTTCCCTGCATGCAGAAGACTCTGCTTGGTTTGTTACAGTTTTTTATCAGCTCTCCAGTGTCCAAAATGTTTTGCGTTTTCCCAACTATTGTCTCCTTTTGCACTCTCTTTGCTCTTGTGATTTCATGCTTTGTTTATTCCTTTATCATTTTATTAGTTTTCAGAGAGGGTGAAGATAAACAAGGAATTCTATCTGTAAGGATAGTATATCTTTGTTCTAACTGATGTGCTCGTCGTGTTATCCAGAACGAAAAGACAAGTTCTTGTCCTTAAGGAGTGCTCAGTGTCATGGGAAAGGCACAGGCAGATGAATCATGTTCATACAGGTGCTGTAATGGAGATGAGTCTGAGCAGCAGAGGGTCACAGGAGAAGTATCTGCATCTAGTGGGGGAGGGGCTGGGAGGGTCACTGGGATTGTGGCCAAGAGCAGTGGGGAAGGGAAAAGGCTCGGACTTACGACCATTTGGAGGGCAAGAAGGAGTTTTAGATCAAATTGTTATTTTTATTGACTCTCCTCTCCTGGGTGCTATAAAAAGCATTGATTTCTCAATGCAGGGCCTGCCCTATCAAGATGAGCTAAAGCATCACAGGTGACACCTGGGTATCCAACATGCCCAGCAGAGCTGCCTGGGGAGAGCCCTGTCCTTCCACCATTTTCTTCTATAAAACAGAAATTAATGTGAAGGCTAAATGGAAATTGCTCAAGAAAGTCAGCACCCAACAGGAGTTAGTCCTCCTAGCCCCCATTTCTTTTAAACAGGAAGAGAAAAAGAAGTAGCATGTATGTCCCGTGTATAACATGGAGCTCAGATACGCAGAAAGATCACTAACTTTGCTTTCTGTAACATTCAGGTTGATCTTAAGCCACCATTCCATGAATTGTGAAAAAATGTGCCACTTCAAGGGGTTCTTGAAGTTGTGAACTTTTTAATGTTCAGCTTAGTCTTTTACAGGTTAGTTATTAATCGAGTGCATTTTTTCCTGCCTACCTCCCCACGAGTGCATTAAGCATCCTGGATGGCTTAGCATTCTGGCTTCCAAAACAGGGCAGCTGCCCTCACTACTTTCTAGCCAAGGGATCTGTCCTTAATCTTAGGCACTGGCATCTATCCACTGTCACTCCACTATTGAAGCCTCCTCAGCTTTTCTTGTCTCAGGCATTATATCCCTGCTGTCTGGATCTGTGCCTAGGCACCCCCTGGTACTGCCAGTGCCATAGTCCCTGGCCTTGGACTGAACTCCCTATACCCTGTATCTACCCGCTAGTAGCTGACTACTAGGTACTACCAAGTACCTGCTGACTGCTAATTCTCAGCCTCCTTCACTATTCCTCTTAAGGAGACTTAGAATTGCTGTGGATCTGTGCCATGCCCTGCCAAAGCTGAAGGAGAGTGTTCTGAAGCCCTCTCTGCTATATATGCCACATGCCATTTCTACCCTGTCAGTGCCGTTCCATATTGGCACAGAGCAATGCAAGGTGGTCTTCCAGAATTCCAGGTGGGAAGCAAAATATAAACTCCACTGCTCTACCATTGCCAGATTTAACTGGGCCTCTTAACTATGCCCTCCCAAACCCCAATACAAATTAGGTTTATCTCTGCAGGTTATGAGAATATAGGGAGCAGGCCTAATGCCTGTCTAAACTGTCACCACAGACATTGTCTATCAGGTTCTTCTCTGCCCTTCTGCCCATCCTTCCACCTCACCTCACCCTCAGGCCAAGAAGGGCCTTTTGTTTTCATTTTCACATTCTTTTCTTTTTACTGCTCTGTGAGCTTTAGTGAAACTGTGCATTCTGATTCCCTGGGTTTTCTGGTTCTTGATTATTTTAAGAGTAACTTTTGGAACTTAAACAAACCTTTTCTCTCTCAATATAGCCTGGCTCTTTTAAATGAAAGCTTTAACCTTCACAAGCATTACCTCTGAAATGAGTTTCAAGAGCCAGTTGTGGGAGTCAAAAACTGAATATGACCTCCTTGCTCTCAGCTGGGTTCTGCCATCCCCTTGAAGGAGGGAGTACCTCAGCCCTCAGGAAGGAGAGCCTGGGCCTGCCAGGATTACCATGCATGGAAAATGCTTCCAGTTTCTAGAGGGGCAGGCCACACTCTTAGGATCAACTTTCCCATTACAACAACAAAAAGTGGTGGGTAGAACGTTTTCCACACTTCACCTTTTTTTAACTTTTATTTTGGGTTCGAGGGTACATGTGAAGGTTTGTTTTGTAGATAAACTCATGTCACAGGGGGTTTCTTGCAC